TTGGCGCCGTCCTCTTCGAGGAACTTTCGGCAGGACTCTAAAAGAAAAAAGTTGTTGTTGTTTTGTGGTAATCTTTGCTGAACGGTAAACTTACCTTCCGCCTGCTCCAGCTTCTTCACCGCCGCCTCGTACTGGCCCTTGCCGATAAGGATGCACGCCTTGTTGTAGACAATTTCGTAGGTGTTCNTAAACTTACCTTCCGCCTGCTCCAGCTTCTTCACCGCCGCCTCGTACTGGCCCTTGCCGATAAGGATGCACGCCTTGTTGTAGACAATTTCGTAGGTGTTCTCGCTCAGGTCGAGAAAGTCCGCGTCGTTGACGTCGCCAGCCTTCTCCAGCGACAGGCCGGCGAGGACCGCAGTCAGGTTGACGTACCGTTCATCCTCGTAGTCGTCACCGGAGTTCTTGATCAGCTCGATGTAGCTGGCGTAGGACTGCTCGTAGTCCTCAATGCGATACAGCTGAGTAAATGAAACAAAAATAGAAAGGCATTACACATCAAGTCATTAGAAAAGTCAAGCATTTTTACTTACCGCCTGAATCTTCAGTTCGTCTCTGGCGAAATCAGCGTTTGCATCCGAGAGCTTCAAAGTCTCCAGCGCCTCGTTGACCTGATTCAGGCGATACTCGCAGTAAGCCTTTTCGAAGTTCAACGCCAATCTGAAAAACCGGAGTTTTCAAGGTAAATACTAAAACAAAATAGATAAATCAACTTACTGCACTTCCTCGCTGGAGCCATTCAGCAAGCTCAACGCCTCTTCAAACTTGTTCAGCTGAATCAGGCAGACCACCTTGCAGTGGAAGGCCTTCTGGTTCTCCTTGTTCAGGTCGAGAACTGTGGGGAAAAGGGAGGAGGAAAAAAGTTATAAGTTTGGAAATCATCAAAACACAAGAGCAGCCGTACTTTTGTTTGCCGTCTTCAACGCCTTCTCAAAGTCGCCATTGTGCTCCAGCTTCTTCAGCTCGGCAAAGAGGCCGGACAGGGCCGCCGCTGGGTCGGCCATCAGATGTATCTTCAAAGATCTAATCTGTTGTGGAACTTCGGCAGCAACAACACACACACACACAAAATGTTTACACGTGTAAGACAGCAAACGCTGAGCCAGTCAGTCTTCACCTGGAGAGGATGTGCTGCATCAAAGTTATGTGTACCAAGCTGCCAGATGGCGCTCGGCGTTGATGAAGCAGAGTAGAGTCTACTCAGTAGACTGATTACACAAGGCCACAAAATAAAGTCAACTCCCTAAAACGGGCTGATATTTGGATTAAGTCCCTTTTAATCTCTCGAATTCTCGGTTGAATTTTTTCGTTAATTTAGCGGTTTTCCAAAGGAAATTAGCAAAGTATAACAAGCTGTTAGACATGGTCCTCCAATGAGTGGGTCGTTGTCGGTAACGACACTAATGTTCTGACCATTTAGGTTCCATTATCTTCAAAACGAGTAATATAAAAATAATTGATCAAGGTGTCAAATGAAAGGTGACTAACTTATCTAGATTTTGTCTGACTCGGAATATTTTTTAGTAGTTTGACGTCTCAGATAATGATTTTTGAATGCCGCTACTGTACTCAATTTTTAGTGGAATTTTTAAGCCGTTTTACCGGCTTTAATTTACAGTGGCTAAGCAATGTCGAGTGAGCCGCCGGCAAAGTAATCGCAAAACAATATCTCCAGCGTGCAGAGTCTTTAGACAGTGCTGAGGGCAGCATATCAGGCATTTGCCGAACAGCCAGCTGTCACCATTCAGGTGGTCTGATGGTGTGCTTGGTAGTCGGTGCTGAAGACAACTAGTTGGTAGAACTCAATAAAACAAACACTGGTGTAACAGTGGTGGTGGTGGGGACATGACTGAGCATTGAGATTCCTTAACAACAGAACAGAGTTCTCCTGTGTTTGAAAAAGGCGCAAACTCTCGCGTGCCCTAGGGCACTGCTGGAACACCTGCTGACACTCACTGCTGCCCTCGACTGTGTTTTTCAGCAGTGAAGGCTCATTTGCCCAGTGCCTTCCTCACAATGCGGTCCCCAGTGCTGTGTGCGTTTCACTCAATCACCAAACCTCTTCTCCAGTTCTTTCCCTTCAACTCCTCACACTTTTGGAACGGTTTTCTACAGCTCTTCTTTCTTTCCTCTTCAGTGACCATTGATCAAATTTGGGCACATCGATTCTTCAGTTTCCTGCATCTTCTTACCTTCACTGCTTCACAGTTCTCTAGTGTTTTAACAGTGGCCGACACTGTGCTGAAAAGGTTGAGGGATTCTGTGTTGCCGATCAAGGCGGTTGCACAAGTGTAGTGCTAGTGTGTGCCTTCTGTTGACCTACAAAAGTGGCGGGAAAATTCTCGCCTATTCCTTAGGGCCAGCATTGCCTGCTGACACATGCGCGGCCTTACACGATTCTGTGGAGCAACAGCAGCAGCAGCAGCAGCAGCAGAAGTGTTCATTTGCCCAGCGCTCTCCTCGCAATGCGGTCCTCAGCAATGTCTGGACACAGCAGTTTGCAACTGTTGCTGCGATTTGCACTTCACTCAATCACCAGACCTCTTCTCCAGTTCTTTCCCTTCAACTCAACACACTTTTGGAACGGTTTTCTACAAATCTTCATCCTCT